TTCTTGATTCACTTCTGCAAGTTCAAATCCAAGTAATTTGTTGGCATTGAAAGCTTCAGCTTGAGGATCTGGATTCTGATGATACTTTTGAGACAGTAAATAAGTGGTTTGAAGTCCCTTGCCCTTGACTTTGGAAAGTTCAGTCATTTCATTGAACAACCAGTTGTAAAAACCTTTTCACACAACTTACCTTCGACCTCTCTTGGTTCGAATTCATACAAATCATAAACGCGTTCGTAGGTTTGGCGAGAAATTTGAATTCTTCCACCAATACCAGTAGATTCCATGCGTGACGCTGTGTTCACCGTGTCTAATGTTGAGATAAGTGACATAACATTATAAATTTCATATTTGAAATCTTTACTTACCACCCCACAAGTCATAACTAAATTTTGATGAACCTAGAACACCAGCAGTAACACTAAGTTCCATGTAAAAACATTAACATCAAAAATTTCCTAATAATGAGAGAACATACCTTCCTGTGTGAATACCAACACGAATATTTAGATTGGCATTTCGTTTCACATTGTAATTGTAAAGAATAGAGAACTGGCCACACGCAAAAAGTAAGACTTTTTCGGGGTGATCGGTCTCTTTGTTGTGCAAACCACCTTTGTTTGTGAATTAATTATAGTGAGTTAGAATGTATGATTTGTATACTAACCTGCTAAGAAATAAGCATCACCGATTGTTTTAATCTTTTCCAAAGCAAGTCTCTCACATAAAAGGTCAAATTGATTAACAATAATATTAAGCATTTCAACGACTTGATGTGGCTCTAATTTGCTGCTCATGCTTGTAAATCCGACAATGTCTGAAAATAAACACGTGACATCCTAATTTACATCAATTTCAATGAATATAAATATATATATATACAAAGTCTAGACAAATGTTTTCATCATTTCCAATACTCACCTTAATATTTTCATAAATGTTCTTTTCTCCGGCTTTGAGGCGATTCGCAACAGGAAGTGGTAAAATGTTCAACAATAAAGCTTCCGATTTAGCTTTCTCTTGATCAATTAGTATTGCATGTTTCAACTCATTTGTAATATCTTTCAAAAAACAACTAATGATTAATTTCTTTGTTTTTTCATTGTCTCCATCAATAACGCTCACGCAAAAATTAGCTCTCACGGGGAAGGACTTTCCATTTTTCCTACGTGCCTTAAGTTTCTCAAACGTCTCTCCGAAATTACTTGTTGCCTTCTTCATTCTCTCAATAGTGGCTTTATTTTTTCAATGACTTGTTTCTTTGAAAAAGGGCCGAAATTTTAGTTCCCACCACCTTAAATATTGAATAAATGAAATTTCAAAAAAATTATTAAATTAAAAAAATTGCAACCTGTTAATTACTGACATACCTCGGATGGCCTGTAACCGAACATTTCTTGAGCTGCTTTCGAGAAAAACTTAATAGATCCATCGATATTGCAAATAATTGATCCCTCCACAGTACTATCCAGGACAGCTTTAACTTGTGCGAACGCTTGCTCATCATCATTATCAGAAACAGGGGAAATTAAAGATAATAGTCTACCAAATCTACCTTTCTTAGAAGATGTCTTTTTAGACACAAATTGGAAGTGAAGAGCATATTCTCTGAGCTGATCAGAGTTGTCCAATGTTTCCCAGCTCACATAACACATCAACGTTCTCAATTGTTGAATCTGACTCCAATACTTTTGAAATTGGTTGTTAGTGAAATAGGTGAGGACCAGCAATGTAATGAATCCAAAGGATGCAAATATGCCTGTTAGCGTTCGTGATGGTGTTTGATGCAAAGCAACATATGCATCAATAAAGGCATAGAGTTTGTAGGCCATAATTTTGCTTGCGTTATAAAACTGCATGAATCTTTCAAAGAGTGTAAGGGGGTCATACAATCGATGATAGGCCTGATTGTTCATTTGGTCAGCTTGTGAAGATAATAGGTCTAGCAGCTGATCGAGCCCTAAGCAGGAATAATCGGTCGCAGAACAATTCTTTTTGGGTATCACAGAATCCATGCCTTCAGAAAGAATGGAACGATAATTATTAAAGTTGGCTCCATAAATCAAATTATTCCACGAATCAATAGAGTGTGCTAAATAGACCTTATTGCTCAAGAAATACAGTTCATTTTCTCCTGGTGTCATATTTTGATCAAAAACAAGCTCATCCAAACCAAAGTTAACGACCTGGCTATGCATTAACACCCGTGTGGCTTCAGCCACATTCAACATGGAGATATAGGAATCATCTAAGTTCAAAAAGAATTCAGTCATAATCAAGGAGGATGATAAGAAGTAGCACAACATTAATGCTAATATCGAGAGTAATATCATTCTCATAGGTGTAAAATTTGTACTGTCAATCTTTTGAATGTTGTCTTTGGTGCTTGTATCGAGATGATGAAATATGGCACCCACTTGATCCTTATCAATATGTTTAAATAATCTTACAACCTTAAAAATGTTGCGAAGATGAATATTGATTGCCACCAAAAATATAGCGCTTGTCAGAAGCATTATTGCATTAATACACACAGCTAGTATAATGTAAATCATTCGTCTTTCCATTGCCACAATTTGATTTCTATCAATAAAATTAATACAAAATTTTTCATAGGCGTCCTTTAAGGGCTCTCGATTCAACCAGAAAAAGAGGAATACATAGGAATCACGTGTCATATTATACTGTTGAATAGTTGATCCGAGTAATGTGTCAATATTTGTGATTAATAGCTTGGTTGTCTCAGACAAAGAAGTGTTTTGGAGCTCATATTCGAGTGTTGGATTTTTGGAGATGATAGGCATTCTCAAAGAGACAGAATCCGTTGTAAAATCATGTTTCATCTCGGTCGTAAATATTCCAACGGATTTGGATAACTGTTGAACTGTCTTAGCCTTGTCTTGCAAAACAATTAACCTGTCCTTGTGGGCTTTAAAAGATACCATCAATCCAGTATCATTTATACCTTTGTATTTGATTGTAGATTGTAAAGAACGGATACCGGAAGCAATTAAATGACTGACTGAGTTCATTGTACAAGCTGGCTCCATAATATGAATATAAATAATTGTCATTTCTACAGACCAATTCCGAAACTGTACATACCTTGGTTCACAAGAAACACTTTGGAGGAAATCTCGTTCGAGAATGTAATATTAATCACTAGCCCAACAATGAGCATACTAATGCATAGAGCAACGAATAGTAAAAAGGATACGTATACTGGTTTGTGATCTTCTCTTGATAACAAGGCACTATAAACGGAAACATATCAAAACACAAGGTCGTCAATACCAATGATAAATAAATTCTTACCTTCTGAAAAGTATTTCCTTCTTTTGGGATGATGGGATCACATCAGAGGACCCTCCAAAACTATCTGCATCAAGCTCTTCATCAAAAA